CTTACAAGGCGGGGTTGTCGATGAGCACTGCTGAGGAGTCCTAAAACAGGACGGAACGGCCGTCCACTGCTTCTAGGTTTTCCATGATTATCTAGTTTCGAAAATTTGTTTTAATACAACATTACAGAATATCCCTAGGTTGATAAGATTTGATCTACACTCAGAAGGACCTGACATACATAACACCGATCACCACCCAGTGACCAATCAATTGTAATTTCCTTGTCATTGTTCACTTGAATCTTCTCATTGTTGTTTAGGACTGCAATTGACCAGTCTCTTATTGAAATTGTGCGTATTGTGCAGATTGCTTTAGGCTACAAGCATCATAAACAAAGATGGATAGCGGCTAGCAGTGGAATTGAGGTCGAGCGTTTCGTCCTATTTTGGACAGAATAACTTGGTAAAATCTGAGAACAATACAGTAACTTCTTCATTTGTAAAATGTCAATGAATTGTCTCAGACGTGATTGTTCATTCGTTTCCACACCATCCATTCTCTGTTCTCGTTTTCTTTTTGTAGATCTTCTTAACCTTCTGCCACCAGGTATTTCACTTTCAATTGGGGATTCATACTACTTATATCTGTCGGCATCAGTAGCACACATCACAGTAATAGTATATGTAATATTATTGGTTAACTGCGACTAATTCTTCACAGAGTGTATTCCTCCTTATTAGGAGAATATATTTCGGACGAAATAGAGAACGAGACGAACTGTTTATCAACCTAAAAAATGTCGTCCACAGGAGTGCAAGACAACAATCTGTCAAAAGAATGATGAACCGGAGATTCATGTGTTTCTTTGTAATAAAAAAAGTTTGATCAATTTAATCACAAAAACATGTGACATAAGTAGCATGTGGCATTCATCAGAAGTGGAAACCCCAAGAGTATACGGCCAAAAATGTTGAGTCAAAGAGAATAGAAAGGAATTGTAAATTGGGAGAATCATACTGATCGTGAAGGATATATGATGGAAATTTGCAAATGAATTATCCAATGAATGATTCTCATATTTTATCAAGATATTCTGTAATTTTATGTAAAATACACATTTATTGTCCGCACCTGAGTGTTCGTTCATTACAGAACTAAACCTTAAATCGGGGTATTTCGCTTAGAAAGCACAAATTCGCAACACAAACTAATCAATTTCGTGTGCAGATTTACATATGAAGTTATAAATGAATATCAAATAAAGAATAATAATCGGTTAAGACTAGAAATTTACACAACTGTATGTCGACTCAGTAGTCTAGAAGTTAGGCGTTCGCACGTGAGACCGAAGGTCCTGGTTCGAATCCCGTGTGTGTGTGTGTGGTCGTGGATGCACACTTTTGAGTAGTCCCATACTAAGACGAATTGGATGTACGGTGCTTTATTGTTTTCAGTGATAATCTAGCATCAATCCATTCATAATCTCGATTAGTAGCCAATATTATTTTAAATCATAATTCTTTTGTAAATATGTAACATCCTAGCTCAGAGGTGTGTGTACTCAAACAGTCTACAATGAAAATTTAGATCGTAACCAGGGAAGTGAAGAACATAAGATAAGATAAACCGATAATTCATTATTCATTACATAAAGATTTCTAGACATAATTAATAACATTACGAAAAAACAATTCATATTCAATTGGTGTTGTTTACTTGAATCTTCCATTAAATTTTAGGACTGCAATTGATCAATCTCTTATTGGCATATGTGCATCCTGTGAGGATTGACTAGATATTATTATAAGTCACAAGCTTTTTAAACAAATATGGATAGTGGCTAGCAATGGAATCCAGGACGCACATTTCGTCCTATTTAGGACTCGTCAGCCGGATGTACCTGCACCCCAGAGTTCATGTTCACTCCGAGATTCGAACCTATTATCGTTCGTTTCAAACGTTACTGCTTTGCCCACTTAGCTATTGAGTTCTGAGTTTTTGTGCGAAATTAAAATAGACTGATCAAAAAAACTTTTAACGGATAGAAAGTAAATTTTGTTTGCACAAATCAATATCATTCTCAAGTCCTGAAATAAGTGTTAACCTGATGACATTACATTTCATCAGTCAGTCAGTAACAACGTAGAACTTCGTACGTACGTACATCACTTCGAGTTGCCACACCACATTAGCACAGAGATGCAGTTATCGATTCAAATCCCGTAGTGGTAGAGGTAGTACGAGTATAAGCAGTCATTGGAAACATTAGGGTTTGAAGACGTTATTTAAGGAGTATAATCCAGTGAAATAAATTTGGAAAGAGAAAAAAAGGGACATGAAGATTTTGGAAGATTAGAATTTGAGAGAGCACAAAGAATGGATGCATCTGAGCACACCATTGCAAACGATTTTGACCCGTGTCATTCAGGGTCTCTAACCGTCGGTTGCTATCATCTCACGGTCCCCAACCAGGTAGTCTACACCTACCAACATGACTCAGTTCACTTGTCAGTGACTTCATGGACTTGTGCCATGTTTTGGTTTGGCCGCCCTAGCTTTCTTCCAACCTACTCCTATACCATTGAGCATTGCACGTCGGGGCAGTCAGTGGTTGGGCGTACGTAACACGTGTCCCAGCCATCTCAACTGATGAAGTTTCACTACTTCATCAATTGATTTGTCATACTTACCTAGTACCCGTTTCCTAACAACTGCGTTACTTACTCGATGGTCCCATTTCATCAACCAATTAGTCAAGTTGATTTACTTGAAATTTTAATAGAAATTCATTCATTTATCCATTCTTCCATCCATCTATTCATCTAGCTTCATATGACATGTACATTAAAGTTAATATCAGTTCTAAATCTTTAATCTTAACTCTAAATTAAATGATGTTTTCGATGGACAATGCAGTGACTGTTCAATATCTGTTTAGGTCATTTTGAAAGGTTAAAGATATACAATCTAAATCTATAAGAATTTATATTAGATGGGCTTTGTGGATATTATAGTAATTTTAATGGTTAAGATCATGAGTCAGATGAAGCTAGACCACCATGGAAAACCTCGAAGGATTGGACAGCTGTTTCGTCCTATTGTGGGACTCCTCAGCAATACGCATCCATGACCTTTCCCCCTGCGAGATTCGAACCTAGGATTTACTGGTTTCGCGTGCGCGAGCACTTAACCACTAGATCACTGAGCCGGTATCCAACGGTGTTAATGTCTTACTATAACTAATCCAGGATTTGTCTACTTATATGTTTATTATTTAGATTTATAATATAAAATACTTTGTATTATTTCCCTTATAACCAACTATCAATAAACTTTTTTTTGTGAAAGCTGCTTTCTGATTGGTTAAAAAACAGCTCAAAATTCATCGCGGTTATTTTAAATTCATCCTTATTTACTAATATATTTAACTTTTATAATCAGTCATGAATTAATGATTCTATATAGCGGACTTCTTTACTTTCTTTTCTATTTATTTCTATATTTTAGAATAAAAACAAAAAGGAAAAACAAATGAAATTTTGGAAAATTTCATGATTAGTTTCTTTTTTTGGGGGAGGGGGGAGGATATTCTCTATTCTTCTCTTTTTTTCGGGTGTGTGTGTGTGTGTGAAAAGGATGAATATGAAATTGGAAAGTACTAGGAAGGATAACTGAGAGAGAATTGAATGGAGAGTGTTCGTGAATAGCCTATACTCCTTCATGAGGAGTAACAGGCGTAAGGAAGTAAATAAGTAATATATATGCATATGTGTGTGAAATTTTTTCTGTCACACTATTATCAAAAGGATAATTTTATTTAAACAATTAGATTTTAGTTTAAAAATAATTGATACTAAGAGAAAAACTTTTAAAAATTTGCTTCCAGCCTCCCTCCGGATCTCCGTCTCTCTCTCTCTCTCTCGTTATATACATATTTATATTCAACACAGTTGATCGATATATGCATATAGTCATATATGAATATAAATGATATACATATATATATATATATATATATATAGTTGTTAAGATATATATATCTATATACGTGGACATGGATACAAAATTGACCATACTTTCCCCGTAATGAATTCAAAACTTTTGATCGATAGACAGACATCGATCATTTATTCAGGTAAATGAAAATATATGAATTTGATTTAAATAAATATACCTTTTTTTTAAATTATAATATTCATACATATATATACATACAATATGCTTATATGCTCTTATGAATAGTTGCTCACGCTATACAATTATCCCTTTTCAACACTTTCATCATCCTCATCATCATCATCACCATTATATCCCTTTTGTAGTTTTCATATATAGATATATATATTTCTTTCAATGTAACCAACAGTAATTTTATAGGAAAAAAATGGAGTGGGGGGGGTGGAGTGAGGTTGAGGGGTGAGTTGTGTATATGTGTGTGTATGTATGAGTGTGTATATTGTCTTTCGCAATATTATTTATCTCTTTCCTATATGATTGGTCAATATTATTATGATTATTTTTTTGTAAAAAAGAAACAAAACAAAAAGTTATAAGCCTTCCTATTCGTTGTTACCATTTTGTTGTCGGTGTTGTTGTTGTCGTCGTTTCATTATCATTATGATAAGCGTTATGCTCAGATAAATGAATACACGTACACATACACACTCACGCGCGAGCACATACACACACGCACATACGCACATAAAAGATGGATAAACACATGTATACTCAAAGTATTCATTTTCCTTATTTCTATGTTTCCCCCCCCACACACACACACTACTACCTGATATATGATTATGACATATAGTTTTTTTTGGATATTCATAAAATTGTGATAACCGTTACATATAAAACTTATGCCCCAAGTATACATAAACACACACACACACGCACACACACACATATACATGGTAACATACATACAATGAATATGAGTGGATAGTAAGTGGTATATGGAATATCTTTATAAATTTACCCTCTTACTTTAACCGTAACATACATATATAAATAATTCATTTGATTGTATAAATTAATTATTATTATCATTAATTCTATTATGTTGAATAGTACATTGAATTCACATTCAACAGATTCGAACGAGGAATCTAATCATCATCATCATCATCATCATCATCCTAACAACAATAATTGTTATCCTCATTCATCATTGTTACCACCATCATTACCATTATTTACATCATCAATAATAAATAAACAACATAAACATAAATTAAAAATGAAATTATGGATTAAACAATTGAAGCATTATTTACGTTGTATGGATTATAAACGATATAATGATATACGTTTACGTAAATATTTACAAACATTAATTATGTTTGATTATCAGGTTACATCAACATCGTCAACAACATCGTCGACAACCTCAACAACGACTTCGTCAACATCGACATTGACATCCTCAACGAATAGAACTTTATCAAAACTAAAAAAATTTTCTAAAATGAAAAAATATTTTACAAAATATAATGCTCATTTAGGAATAAGATCTAAATTGAAAATAGATCTAGATCATAAATCTTATGATTATCATGATGATAGAGAAAATAATCGAAAACAAATTGATGATTTAGAATTGTGTAGAACAATAAATATAAAAGAGAAATTTGATGAAACACTGAAGAAATCAACGAATCAATTCAGAAGTGAGTTGTTGTTTTTATTTATTTAAAAGATCTATGTTATATTATTGACTAATCAGATCATGAATCCATTGAAGATAGATCATCATGGAAAACTTGTAAGTAATGGACGGTTGTTTTGTTGAAGTATGGAACTCCTCAGAAGTGTATGTCCACAGTCCCGCATAGTAAGATTCTAACTCAGGACCTATCAGTCTCATGCACTAACGCTTCACCTTTAAACAACTGAGTCGATCGGCATTCAATGGTGTTAATGTCTAACTTTAACTAAACTACAATGAGTTACTATTTCACAACAGACGTGGTTGTGCTCCACTGGTCAAAACCAATAGGTCCTGAATTAGAATTTTACTATGCGGAACTGTGGACACGCACTTCTGAGGAGTCCCATACTAATACGATATGGTTGTCCAGTGCTTCCAGGTTTTCCATGGTGGTCCAACTTTGATTAACTCATGAACTCAACTCAACTCAATTTAAGTTTTCAGTGTCATTAAAATGGGGAAAATTAAGTATTGAACCATATGACTAGGGAAATTGAATTGATTATTAGATGAGTACCATGTAATGAAAGGAACTATTTATATGTATTCATTATTAATGAGATTTAAAAGAGTATTCCCCTAAGTTTTAGTACGTAACTATGACTACTAAAATTCAACATATTGACCACTAAACATGAATGGGAGGTATTTAACATATTGAATAGATCAACGTTTGGAGTACTTAAGTTCGATTTAGGATAATGACGTGGAGTTATATAGTCGAATGGTTGTTTAATTGAATTTAGTCATGAATTTAAAATTGTGATTAGAAAAATTGAAAACTTGACGAATGTATTAGATAACCGACTTGTTACTGTCATTAACTCTACAAAAGTGTCGAAAAGTTTATTGTATTAGGGATAGAACTTATGTGTGTATGTGTGTATGTTCATGTGTTAACGTCACTCAATTTAGTTAGAATGCAAACAGTCTATCAGTCAGTCAAAACATAGAACTTCGTACGTATGTATATCAGTTCGAGCTGCCATACCATATTAGCACAAAGATGCCGTTGTCGATTCAAATCCCGTAGTGGTAGAGATAGTAAGAGTATAAGCAGTAATTTAGTATTTGAACACTTCAATTTTTTGTCATAAACTGTATTATTAAAATTGGATTAAAGACTATGAGAACTGAAGGATTAGTATTCAAGTATTAAAGGGGAGAGGTAGAATAAAATCGAGAGGTTTCCTAAATTTAACGTCAAACATTCATCATTTATTGGACTTTCCTATAAAGATTTCCATATTTGGTGATATTTCTTGAAAAAATTTTTGAATAATTATTCAATCCATGAGTCGATGTAAGTTAGATCACCATTGGAAACCTGGAAGCACTCAACGGCTGTTTCATCCTAGTATGGGACTCAGAAGAGTACACCCACAATCCTCATACATGATTCGAACCTAGAACCTTCGGTCTCAAGCATGAACGCGTTCAGAATGGTGGATACAAACAGCTGAGGAGTTTCATACTAAGGCGAAACAGCCATTCAGTGGTGCTTCCAGGTTTTCACTGCTGCCCTAGTTTGAATCGACTCATGAATTCAAACTATTAAAATTACTACAATCTCCACAAATTCCCATTTTGACATTAATCATTCATACAAAACGTAGTACATTTATGTAAAGTGGAGAGCATTTATAGTGTATCAAATACTAATCTCGAATTTAAGTGGAATTGTCTGTGTGCTTGACGTGTGTATGGGCCGGTGTGAAAGAATATACTAATGATGGGAAACATTTATAGCTCTTTATGTGCGGATATTGGGAGTGTTGTGGTCTCTAAGTTGGATAGTTTGGTTGCTGAAACTTTGATTGTTCTCCTGGATAGCGCCATCAATATATATTTCAAAGGGAATACACTGAGTGAGGTTCGAACTTACAAATAAATTATTAAGAAATAAAACAATCTTTTTTTATTCGGTTATTATAGTTCCTAAGTTCTTACTGAATGACTTCCATCGACCAAATTGGCAAACTAGTCAATGAACTTCAACAGTTCTATTTGGACTATCAATAATCTATTCATTCATTGAAGTGATCTCTTTTTACACTGAATTTATAATCAAGTTGACTATTGGACTTTTTTTCATTTAGACATTAAACTAAACTATTTAATATAGGAGAAGATTGAAATAAGTCAAGAGGCGATAAAAAATAAACCAATACACAGACATGTAAATAGGGTTCAAACTATTTGGTTTAGGCTCCATACAAACATACAAACAAATTGTCGAAGATGTTGAATGACCTATCAAGGATGCATTCATTTCTGCTACCAGTGATATTGGGATTATGTCATTAGGATGATCTACTGTTTCAACTTGAACTGATTCCATAAGTACTAGATTCTACATTACATATAACTAACCAGTGATTGATAACATTCGATAAGCTATCAAGATTACATGGTGGTTGGAGGTAGTCGACAGGAAATCTTGGACCCGGGTTCCGTGCTACTTGGCACTCGTCAACAAGGTGTACTTGTAATCTTGAGGGAACTGGTGCTTCTACCTAGTGATCAATCAATTGTGATTACATCTCAGTCCTACAGGAGGTTAGTCATGGCCCAAATAGCTCAGTGGTAACGTCTCTGACTGTGAGGCTGGGTAACAGGGGATCGAATCCACCAGGGAGCACCAGTTCCCTCAAGATTACAGGTACACCTTGCTGACGAGTGCCATGTAGCACGAAACCCGGGTCCAGGATTTCCTGTCGACTACCTCCAACCACCATCTAATCTCAATATATAGTGCACGCAGTGTCGAGTCATCTAGACTGGTGGCCACATTGCAACATGATCGATAGCATTCGATCTGCACTAATAAGGACTTTGACACACATGACATTGGATCACCACCCAGTGATCAATCAATTGTGATTCGATAAGCTATCATTTTGTTGAGCATAATAACAATCTATATTGGATGAAACGACATGGAATCTTAATATTCTGTATTGTTGTGTAATTTTAGATGTCATCTTTTGAGGCTGTGGTAACATCAATGACTTGTCCTACATTTGAAAAAAGTCTTCATTTAAGGTCTCGATTCACGTCAAATTTACTGAAAGACTAATGTGGAATAGATCGTTTGTACACTTCTAAATGATCATCTAATCTTTTCTTGTTATCTATGATGTTATTTTTTAATGATGAAAAACTATTTGGAACCAATTATTTCGTATAAAATGATAGAGACAATAATGATGGTGTAATCAGTAAGTAGAAATTTACTATCAATGACACCATGGTAACTAAACAAACACAATGTGTCCAACTTTTAATCATTGTAAAACATCCTATTGAACAGTTCTAGGCTAAAATAAACAATGAAGATATATGCTATAGGACGTGTGTATATCTCAGAGTTAAAGCCAACACTAGGCGCCTGAAATATCAACATTGTCCATTGAGCTACTGTTTTAAGCGTGAAACTAAATATCGGGATCTAGGCACATTGGACTAACAAGTTGAATATATGATAAAATATACAATCTGGATTTCATAGTTAGTTACAATCATTCAACTAGTGGTCAAACAATCGATTTTTCTTTCAAGAAAGAGGATCATTACAATTCATTTGTCATTGCTCTATCATTACAGGGGATCGAACTTAGAACCTCTTGTGCTACATTTATATAACTTTCATCTATCCTACTTTAGAATCCATTAATATCACAGATCTTAACTTGTTTATCAACTTAGCCCCAATTTTTTCTGATTAAATTTAAGTTCCTCTACCATTAGACACTATTCTCAATAAAATTCAATAATCATAAACTCTTAAAGCATATCGTACTATCATCTTAATGATTAATAAATCCATTTATTCATGTGTCGCTCAATTTCGAGGATGAGTTAATGTTAGACATTAACACTGTTGAATACCAGCCAGTTCAATGATCAAATGGTTAAGTACTCACGTGCGAGAATGATAAGATCCTGGATTCAAATCTCACGACGCACTACTAGAACAAAACAACCATTCAGTTCTTCCATGATGATCTCTCTTCAATTATTCAAATGACTTATTTGATTGAAGTCAATAATAGAAAGCCTAGTAACAATAATGATTATTATATTAGTCATTCAATTTATGATTTGATTCTACTTACACTATTATTAATGATTAAGTGAATAAATGATTGAGTAAGCGAAGGAGGAGTGAGAGAGTGAGGTAGGGAGGTAGGGAGGTAATAGTCAATGACTGAATATTCGTCAAGTTATATTTCAATTATTGTCACTTTACTAATTTTTTTTTTTAATATCAAGATGGCCATGATTAGAAATAGTCTCTAAGATATATTGAGTTTATACTCTCTTATGCATATCATTCAATGCATAATGAATATGATGCACCTGTGTGCCAATATTCAAGTTGTACTATACATACCTATGTATATATATAAATATGTGTGCGTGTGTGCGTGCGTGCGTATGTGTACTTGTGTGTATGTGTATGTGTGTTTATGTAATATGCCATAAATGTGTGCATTTGTGTATTGTGACATTTAGCATTATGATTATGATTATTAACGTCAATATGAGTTAAGATAATTTATTCGCAAGCGAGCGAGAAAGTGAGAGTTAGTGAATCACAATGTATAAATGAGTGGGTTGGTAAGTTGGGTGGTGTATCTATATGTGTATGTGGGTGGGTAGATGGGTGGGTGTGTGAATAGTCGGCATGATCATTTGAACTATTTTTTTTCTAATATTATCGAATAGTGTTAAAGAGATTGAACACGTGCTTTCATTCTAATATTAGTTGTCAACGTAGATATTCAATTGAATAGACACCATGGAATATGATCGGTCATATTTAGTCAAGGCATGAATATATTATGATATTAACTATGATCCATTATTATTACCATTAATAATGCGAATATGCATATATAGAGAGTTATGTGTAAATGTATATGGATATTGGGTAGTTGAAATCGTATATCACAA